TACACTGGGATTTTTTTCCTGGGAAAATGGAGAACTACTTTTATATGTGTATGTTTTATGTGATTAGCATTGTATTTTGGTTCAGGGAAATAATTTCCTAAAGCAATAATGTTAGATATTAAAGATTAAAATCTAATATATTTGTGGGAAAAAAAATGGTTAAGAGGAGCCAGGTGTGGTGGCTCACGCCTGTAAGCCCAGCACTTTGGGAGGCCGAGGCAGGCAGATCACGAGGTCAGGAGTTCAAGACCAACTTGGGTAACATGATGAAACCCCATGTCTCTACTCATGTCTCTACTAAAACGCAAAAAATTAACTGTGCGTGGTGGCATGAGCCTGTAATCCCAGCTACTTGGAAGGCTAAGGTGGAAGTATTGCTTGAACCCAAGAGATGGAGGTTGCAGTGAGCCGAGATTGTGCCACCGCAGTCCAGCCTGGGTGACAGAGCAAGACTCCATCTCCAAAAAAAAAAAATTGGTTAAGATGGGCCGGGCGCAGTGGCTCACTCCTGTAATCCCAGCACTTTGGGAGGCCAAGGAGGGAGGATCAAGTGATCAAGGGCTTTTAGTGAAAGCCCATCTCTACTAAAAATACAAAAAAAAAAAAAAAGCTGAGCATGGTGGCACATGCCTGCAATCTCAGCTACTCAGGGCAGGAGAATTGCTTGAACCAAGAAGCAGAGGTTGCAGTGAGCTGAGATCGCACCACTGCACTCCAGCCTGGCAACAGAGCAAAACTCCGTCTCAAAAAAAAAAAAAAAAAAAAAAATGGTTAAGATAGTCATTTTACATTATATATATTTTATCACAATTTTTAAAGAGAGCTGGGCCTGGAGATTTAGAAGGAGAAAGAATGGGCCTTGCTACTTGGTGATGCAAGAAGGGGGTTCTTGAACTGATTGTGTATAAATGAGCCTCAGATCCCTTTTAGGATCAGAATCCCTGCCCAGCTGGGTCCCTGCCCAGCTGCCAGCAGCCACAGCCGATGGACTAGGCCAGCTCTGGAAGGGTTACTCCGCATCTCCAAACCCATTCACTTCTTTGCCTAGTTGTCTAACCAATGGTCCCTATATGCCCTGCCTGAAGCTCCAGGGACTAGCTCCAGAACATGCTGGAAGGAGGGCTTGGCTCTCTGGCATCAGCCTTATAAATTGTCTTAGGGGCATCTCATCCACCCATCTACCCATCCAGCCAGCCATCTATTCTTTTAACACATACTTGTTGAGTACCAACGCTGTGCCAGGTCCATACAGTCTCTGCCCTGAGGGAACCTGTAGTCTTGTGGGGACAGAGATGGGTTATCAGGAGAATGCAATGCAGCATGACATGTGCTGATATCTGGGGCAGTTTGCAGGAGAGCTCATCCTGTCTGTGATGAGAGTTCACAAAGAAAGTTCAGTCTTAGGGCTTGAAAGGTAAACAAGACTGAACCAGAGTGAGGAGGAGGAGGAGTCAGGGAGAATATGCCTAGGAGAAGCAAGAGTGTAGGAGCTGCCTGGAGATTTTAGAAACTGCAGGGCCCACCTGGGGACCTGAAAACAATTGAGTCTGTCTTATTGCTGACTGCGAAGCAGGAGAGGTGATGGCTGAGACAGAAGAGGAAAGGGAGAACTGGATTTTGTAGGGACATTTAGGCACCTTTTGACATTTGACATCTTAAAGGGACATGAGGTACTTCTCAAGGTGCATGGGGGCCAGATCTGAATGTGTATAAAACAAATTTTGTGGACCCAGTTGGAGCGGTGATGGAAGATGAGGGGAGCGGTCAGAGCACCTGGAGTTGGATTTGGGGTCTGAGATACTCAGAGCTGTACACAAGATGTCCATCCCGAGTCCACCCCTCCCTACTGACTGAGGGCACACCAGCCACCCAGGAGGGGTGCTTCTCTTCAAGGGAGGGTGGTCATCTTGAAAACGGCCCCAGGTGCCTCCCTAGCCCCGCTATCCTGTGGTCCCCTCTGTCCTTGAGAACATTCTTTCTTCCTCAATCAAGGATTTGATGACTGTCCCTGCCCTCACCCTGTCTTCTCTCCTCTAGGCTGGGCAGTCTCGGATCTTACAAATCATTCCTGGTGGTCCCTGATGTGTCCAGCCATCCTGCCTTTTTAGGACCCCTGGGGTTGTACCCCCGTGGACCCCAGGCCCAGCCTGCACAACATTGGGTTGGCTCAAAGACCACTGTCTTAAGGCCTGCCCCACATGTTCAGATATAAACTTCCTAAAAGCCTCCTTTGTGACCCTTTGGGATCCAGCCCTATCTCCAGCTTATCAGCCACCTGCTTCTGAGGACAAGCTGGCTCTTGCAAGCCAGAGACCATTTCCTCTCCCCCGAGGACTTTCAGCCAATCTCTGATGGCCCTGTCCAGGAGGGGCAATGGACAAAGGGCAGGGTGCATGTTTCCTGGTAGTGACTCTTTGCTGAGCTAGTACAGAGACCTGTCACAGCGAAGGTCCCAACGAAGACTGAAGAAGGCCAGCCACACACCTGCCACATGTTACTCACAGTTCATTAGGAGCCACGGGAAAACACAGAGTTATCTGCAGCATTAATTAAAGGGGACGGGTGGGGTAAACCAAACTATTGAATAAGACCTGGCAGAGTGGGGCCATGGCTGTGACAGCCAGGCAAAGGGGAAGCTGTTGTAACAAATATGACAGCTGGAGGCTTCCCAATGGCTTGGGACACTGCTTTGAGACGAATTCATCACTGATGGAGCCTGGCCACTGGTGATGCAATAGCCCCCCAATATTGGGCCTCAAAAAAGAATCAACGAAGGTCCCAAAAGCCTATGTCTTGGAAGAGGGCTGTAGGGGAAGCCAGAGGCCCTCAGTAAAATAGTAGCCATCCCACTTGGAAGCATTGAGTTTTGTCCCAGCTCCATCAAAGGAGCCCAGAGAATGGAGGGTTGAGCCAAGGGCCCTTGGCATTCGTTTCCAGCCTTCCTGGAAACAAATCTGCATTCTCTCTGTTACTCGCAAGGCGTGTGACTCTAGACAAGCAGCCTCACTGCCCTGAGCATACATTGCAGGGTTGGTGTGGAGAGTCAGGTAAAGGAATGCAGGTTTTACACGTGGTGAATGTTGTTCCTGGGGGTGAAGTTGGGCCTGGTTTTTCTTGTGGCTTCTTAAGAGCCTCAGGCCATGGGAGATGCTTCCACCAAGGTGAGACAGAATGGGGGCATTGTCCTGAGTGTCTGAAACCCTTTGTGTCTCCCTGTCCTTCCTGGCTCTTGCTTACTTTGCCCTGGGCAGGTGGCAGGGCACCGTGTGGGAGTGAAGGAGCCATGCCTGAATGGGGGCTGGGGTGGCTAGCCTGACCTGTGTCACTGAAGCATTCCATCCAGCCTGCCCTCACTCCAGGAGCCCTTGACCTGGGTCCCTCCGACCTCTAGGACCACCCTGCAGAAAGCACCAGGAGTTGTTCTCATAAAAGCTCTGCTGGCTCCAGGAGTGTCTCAGTGGCACGATAGCACAGGCCATGCTATGGTACACCCAGAACTGTAGTTATCAGCTCTTAAGCCTGTCCCCTGCAAACCCACAGTCCAACCATGCAGAATCTTCTGTTCTCTTAATGTCCCCACACTTCTGCATCTCTTCCCAGACTGTTCACTGCCTGAAACACTCTCCCTGATACCCTGCCTCCTTATCCCGGCACACACAGATCATCACATGCTAATAACCTCAGAAACATGTATTGATCTTCAGCTGCATGAAGTCAAGGTGAGGAGGGGTGAGGGTGTCAAGAAACAGAGGGTCTGGTCAGAGATAAGACCCACAATTTCTTCCGGACCACAACCTGCCCTCTTCAACACACATGCACACGTGCACACGCCCACACACACACGCCACCCTCCAGGCTTTCATTCACTCTTCCCTCTCCTTGTGCTCCTTCCCCTATCACCTCCTGGCCAAATAAGACTGAGCTCTCAAGCCTTCGCTCTGATGCCGTCTCTTCCAGGAACGCTTGCCTGGCGCCCTTCACCCAGGGCTTCTGCGCTGGCTTGGATCTCCCTTAAGGCACCGGTAATGCATGTGTGAATTCTGGCTGGCTCCATGTCCTTTGGCCTCAGTTCCCCCAGCTGTTAAATGGATTAGTAACACCTAACCCACAGTATAATGAAATACACTAACTGACTTGGACTAAGTGCTGAGCAAATGTCAGCTTTGACCACTAGCAGCAGCAGCGTTTTAATCCCTGTATCCTTAGCACTGAGCACAGGGCTGAATACATAATTGGTGCTAAATACTTGCTTGGTGGAGGGAGGGAGGAATAAACGGATGGATGGATGCCGGATAAATGAGAGATCTAGTATGTTTCCAACACAAGAGACAATCTTTTCTGGGGGATAAAGAGGGCTAGGAAGAGCCTGAAAGAAACTAACCTTCATTGTACACCTGCCATGCCTCAAAGCTCAACATACATAAGTCGTCTAATTTACGCTTTGCCATAGCAAGATATTACTGCAGAATGAGGAAGTGGCCATTCTGAGAGGTTAAGTCACCAGATCAGTGTCACACAAGACACAGTCAGGACCAGGAACTCTGATGGTCCTTGATACCTGGAAGGAGGAGGAGGAGGACTTGCTCCAGGCCTTGGCTGCCGACAGTCTTAGACTGGAAATTCCTAGGGCATCTCTGTGGGCAGGGCAGGGCAGGGCAGGGCCACCCCACCCAGGCTCTCACCTAAAGTGCTCAGCTGAGAACCTGGCTTGGGAGAACAAAAGGAGAAAGGAAATGGCGGGCAGGTACAGGGGGTTTGGGGGCTGCCTGTGGAGGGTGGCTGGGGGACTCTCCTTCCTTCTCCAGCTCCTCCAGCGCCACCCTCAGCAGCCTCCCAGGACAGAAAGAGTTAACGCTGGGCTTAACTTCTTGAAGGAACCTGAAGCTTGTTATTCCTTGGTCTTTCCTCCCTCCCTCTCCCGCTCTCTTCCTGATCTTTACTCCGCCTGTGGGTCCCTCCTCCTTACTGTCACCTCCCTGACTCCAAAAACGTTCTGGTTGCCAGAGTGGGTCAATGGTTAACGCTCAAGTGGCTTTATATAAGCCTACCCCAGCCACCTGCCCGCTCAGCTGCGTCTTTGGTCCTTCTGCTTCCCAGATCCTGAAAGCAGTGGCTGTGGCAGCCCTCGCTGGTCCACACCATGGCCACCTGCTGGCAGGCCCTGTGGGCCTATCGCTCCTACCTCATTGTGCTCCTCCTGCCCATTCTCCTGCTGCCTCTGCCCATCCTCATCCCCAGTAAGGTAAGGACTTGGTGTTCTGGGCACAGATAACCCCAGGGGGGCAGGGGAGGGACTGTCAGGGCCAGGGTTGAGCATCCTTAGGATCCAGCATAAACTCCTCACTGCCCCTGCCCTGGAAGTGAGGCTACGGCCCCCTGGTCCTCCTGAGGACTGAGGGCTAAGAGGTCAAAAGGGGCTTTTTCTTGGCATCCAGCCATAGGAGCCCAGTGTTAATTGCTTATGCGGATTTGCAACCCACTGTCCTAGGAAACAGGAAACCAGTTCCATCAAGGAGATGCAGCAGGGGCAGATGGAACTGGTCTGCCTACTGTGTGCCCACCTAGCCCTGAACTGAGCTCCATGGGGGCTGAGACAGGCTGGCTGGGGAGGGAAAGGCCAGGTGAGCAGTGGCACAGTGTGAAGAGGAATGGCAGGAGAGTAGGAGAAAGCCGGATGCAGGCGGTCTGCTTCTTCAAGAGCATAAGCAGGAAGAGAAAGAGTTCACCTGTGACTTCAAGGGCTAAGTCTGTGGAGGAGGAGGCGTGGGAGTTGGAAGAGGGGACCCCTGCAGGTGGACAGCACAAAAACTGTTCCCCTGATGGAGGCAGAGCTGGACACAACCAGGCATCACTGTCTTCCCCTCCACCCCCAGCAGAAGTCCTAACTTCATCTCTCATTAAATTGAGCCCCCACTGCCTGCCCTGCCCTCGGCACCCAGTAACTCTTTCCGCCATCTTAAGAGGTCAGGCCTGACTGTCCCATTTGACAGATGGGGAAAATAAGGTTAAGTCCCTTAGTCAAAGTCCCAGGGCAGATCCGAGTTTCATAGAGCTCGGATATTATACACCTTTGGGCCCGCCTCTGTAAGAAAAAGAACACAAAAGAATGAATCTGAAATTAGCTTGGGGCTTTGGGAAGGGTCCAGGAGGAAGGCTTTGAAGCTCGGTCTTCACAGACAGTCAGCCTCTGGCAAATCACACAGCTGGGAGGTTGAGAGCTGGGGGTGTGATCTGGTGCCAAAGCCTGTGCTGTCCTCTCTACACCCTGCTGCCTTCTGCCCCCGCCCCACACCCCAACACTGCCCATCAAGACATTTGCTTCCTTTTGTCACAGATATGGAAATTGAGGCAAGCTTTTTTGCTCATGGTATCCTAAAGGGGTATTGGTGGTGGCACGGCCCCTAGGCCCCTGACTCCTGGTGAGTGGCAAGGCTCAGCTGACCTTTGAGATGACCTTCATCTCAGGCCAAAGCCAGTGGCATCTCAGTGCTGGGGACCCATCAGATGAGTTTTTCCAATAGCCTGGGGCAAGTGTGTTGACCCCAGGAGGGAAGCCAGACAGGCACTACGATTTCTTCCCACTCACCCTCGCCCTGGGGTAGCACAGCCCAGAAAGATCAGTCTGTGCCCAGGTCACACAGGAAATCCTGAGCCGGTGCTGGAAAGCAGGCCTCTTCGTGGGGCTGAGATGTGTTAGGAGCCCTGTCTTCCCAACACCATATCCTGCCCTGCCACCTGCCTCTGGCTCACAGATGCTGCCAGCCCCATCCTGACTCTGGCTCTATATAGGAGAGGCCAGCCCCCTTCAAGGACTTTGCTCCTGCAATTGTCCCCTACAAGATAATTATTTCCCTTTCTGCCTGATCTCCCCCATCCACATACAGACGTGCTATAATACCGATCATATTAAACAAACAACAGCTCTCACTCCTTCCAGATATTGCCTTCTTTCTCTGTTCTCTCTCATAACAGAGAGCCTCAGGACATTGTCTACACTGCAAGGGCACTTTCTCTTTAGTCAGCTCCCAGCTCCAAGACTCAGATCCCATCAATTTCCATGTGACCAAACCCTGGGCCATTCTAACATTCCTCAACCCCTCAGCAGCATTGGTCACAGCTGTCACCCGTCTTTGCCGTGTTGTCTTCTCTTGGCTTTGGTGACACCTTCTCCATTTGACTCTGAGGTTCTCCAGGGTCCCCACTGCCCATAGCAGATCTTATCCATCTCGTGCTTTACAAAGTGTCTCCATGCCCGTGAGTCCTCAATCTGTAACCCCAGCCCTAACTCTAAACTTGCGTTATCCAATCAACACCAGCCACCTCCGGATTGAATATTTTCTTTGTAAGCAGCATACGCTTGTTCACGTCCAGATCAAAACCTTTCCTGCCCTTCTCCGGTTGGCTTATGCATCAAGAAATGCTTCAACCATCTACCTTGCTGCAATAGCCAAACACTTGAGGTCATTCTTGATTCTTCTCCTTCCCTCCTTTCCACATGCAACAGAAGGTCCTGCTCACTTGATACACCAAATTATCTGAATGGAGCCATTCCACCACCCCACTGTCTCCCCGGTCATTTCCCATGTGTCTCACCCTGCTTAAAACCCTACATAGGCCAGGCACAGTGGCTCACATCTATAATCCCAGTACTTTGTGAGACTGAGGTGGGAGGATTGCTTGAGTCCAGAAATTCAAGACCAGCCTGGGCAACATAGTAAGACCCCCCACTTTAATTTGGGGGGGAAAAAAGCTCTCTACACTGGCTTCCTGTCAAACTTAGGATAAAACCTCTTTGAGCAGCCAGGGGTCACCAAGGTTCAGCCCTGGACTCCCCAGGCTCAATCCCCTGTGCCCCGCCTGCTCCTCACATTGGACTATTCCCCCAGATGCCTCCTTCCGGTTCCTTAGATTTCAGCTTACATCCTCCTCCTCAGAAAAGCCTTCTCTGAACAACCCCAGTCATTCTTGGGGAAGAGCCCTGTTCTTTTATTCATAGGGTATTCACGCTCTGAAATTATCTATTTGCTTATTTTTTACTTCTTCTCTGGCTTCCTGCACTAGAATGTCAGCTCCAGGAGGGCAGGGACTTTGTCTTGTCCCATGCAGAATCCCCAGTACCTCGCACTAAGTAGATGTTCAAAAAATACTTATTAAGCCAGACGCAGTGGCTCACACATGTAATCCCAGCACTTTGTGAGGCCAAGGCAGGTGGATCATTTGAGGTCAGGAGTTCGAGACCAGCCTGGCCAACATGATAAAACCCCAACTCTACAAAAGCACAAAAATTAGCCAAGTGTGGTGACGCATGCCTGCAGTCCCAGCTACTCGGGAGGCTGAGGCAGGAGAAGTGCTTGAACCCAGGAGACAGAGGTTGCAGTGAGCTGAGATCACGCCATTGCACTCCAGCCTGGGTGACAGACCGAGACTCCATCTCAAAAAAAACAAACAAAAAAACCCCAACTTTTTCAATGAAGAAAGGAAGGAATTCGGACAAAGTGGATCTGTCCTGTATCCGTGTTGAACCTCTGTTCTCTGTAATGTCAGCAAGCTTAGCCCCATGGCCCTGGCCTCCAAAGGGGGAAGAAAGAGCCCCAGCCTAGGTTCAAATTTGTGTCCATAATAATAATATTGATGTTTGTTGGAGAACATTTTATGTGCTAAGCATTGTACCGTGCACTTCAAAGCATTGTTAGATCATTTATTTCTTTCAAAAGCCTGTGTGTTGGGCAGGCACGGTGGCTCACGATTGCAATCCTAGCACTCTGGGAGGCCAAGGCAGTTCGGATCACTTGAGGTCAGGAGTTCGAGACCAACCTGGCCAACACGGTAAAACCCCATCTCTACTAAAAATACAAAAATTAGCCAAGCGTGATGGCAGGCACCTGTAATCCCAGCTACTCAAGAGGCTGAGGCACGAGAATTGCTTGAACCTGGGAGGTAGAGGTTGCAGTGAGCTGAGATCGTGCTACTGCACTCAAGCCTGGATGACAGAGCGAGACTCAGTCTCAAAAAATAATTTATAATCAAGTCAGAACAAGTCCTTATCTAAAAAAATAATAATCTGTGTAATTAAAATACCCTTAATGCAAGCTGTTTCTGAACCTCAAAGGCAGAAGAGGACTTGAATGATTCACTTCCGTCATGAAACCCATACAAGGAATTTGGACCTCTGTTCCGAGGCCCGCCTCTGTCTTTTGAGATTTCTTGGCTCTCAGTTGAGATAGCAGAGTCCAGTGAACAAAACATGGCTTTTGGAGCCAAACAGGTGTGGGTTCAAATCCACTGAGCAGCATGTACAGCCATGTGACCTGACCAAGCTTCTTCAAACCCTGTCATCTCTAAGGGACTGTTGTGAAGATGAGATGAGACAGCACAGTTATCATATACAGAGTGCCTGGCACCAAGGGCCTGGGAAACACGTGCTCCCTTCACCCTCTGCCTCTTGTCTGAATTTCTGGGCCCCTGGAAAACACAGACTGGTCTGAAGCACTGTGTAGATGCCTCACTTCTCCATCGCTCTGTTCAAATGGGCTCTCGTGCTCAGGAGGGCCTCAGATGTTCCCACCTAGACAACAGGAAGGCATGTCCAGTCACCCACCAGAGTGGTGAGCTGTGTCCCTAGGAATAGCCATGCCTGTGGCTGTGTGGACATAGGTCTTCTAGCTTCTGGGATACCTGGAAGTAGGATCAGAAGAAGGAGCCAGCCTCAAAGGCCAGGGGGATCCCTGGGGTAGAGGCCCCAACTTGGACTTTGCCCCCATATTACTAAATCATGTCCCTGCTTATTGGTACCTGCCAGGTGAGGGCCAGGAATGGGAAAGTAAGTCACCCTCTTCAACAGTCAAGTTTTCTGGATATGATTCAGCAACAAGGCTCAGGGCTGTCGTGAGGATCAAATTCATAGGGGAGCATGGGAATCCCATGTTCCTCATGGTGCCGGCTTGTGTTTTGTTCTTTTTTTTTTTTTTTTTTAAGACTGAGTTTTGCTGTTGTTACCCAGACTGGAGTGCAAGGGCACGATCTTGGCTCACCGCAACCTCGGCCTCCTGGGTTCAGGCAATTCTCCTGCCTCAGCCTCCCGAGTAGCTGGGACTACAGGTATGCGCCACCATGCCCAGCTAATTTTTTGTATTTTTAGTAAATATGGGGTTTCACCTTGTTGACCAGGATGGTCTCGATCTCTTGACCTCGTGATCCACCCACCTCGGCCTCTCAAAGTGCTGGGATTACAGGCATGAGCCA